TGAGTCATTCTACACATGGATGAATCTTGAAAATATACTAAATGAAAGATGCCAGACACAAAAAGCTACAGGGACTTCCCTGGCAGTCCAGTGGTTGGGACTCCATGCTTCCACTGCAGAGGGCACGGGTTCAATCCCTGGTCGGGGAACTAAGATCCTGCAAGCCGCATGGCACAGCCAGCAAAGAAAAAAAGTTCATCTTCTTGAGATATTGAGACTCTAATACAAATAAGACAAGGGTTTTAAGTGGTACAGTTATAAAGAAGTGATTAATATGAGCTAGATATTTGGACTTAATGGACCTTGATTTTCTTTCTTGTCCTTAATCTCTGGGAATATGTGAGATAGGAAAGGCCAAAGACAAAATAAAACATTCTCCCTGGTTGTGGTAGCAGCATCTAAGATGGCCCCAATGATTCTTTCCCCCTGGTATTGACTTAATAATGTCAATAATCCTTGTATAATGCCCTCCCACAATGAACACGGCTGACTTGTGACACCAATAAGACACTGAAGAAATGATGGTGTGTAACTTCTGAGTCTTGGTCATAAAAGACATTATAGCTTCCAACTCGCTCTCTCTTGGATCACTCACACTGTGGAAAGCCAGCTGCCATGTTATGAGGATACTCAAGCAGCCCTATGGAAGATCCTTGTTCTAAAGAACTAATGCTTCTTCCCAAAAGTTAGCACTCAGCTGCCAACCATGTGAGTGAACCACCTTGGAAGTGGAACCTCCAGTCCTAATTAAAGACTTCAAATGACTGCACCCATGGTCGACCTCTTAACCACAGCCTCATGAGAGACCATCCAGCTAAGCTGTTCTTAAGTTCCTGACCCACAGAAACTATATGAGATGATCAATGTTTGCTGTTCAAAAAAACAAACAACAACAACAAAAAACCATAGGAATACCAGGAGATGAGCATGAACAGGTAGGCTAGGGCCAGATCATAGCCTTCAGACTTGGATTTTATCCCGCTAGCCAGGATTTTTTAAATTGCACTCCACAGTGATCCCTAAGTGAAATCGGATAGGAGAAAGGGGAGAAGCCCTTAATGGGTTGGGCTCAACTCTTCCCCAATCAGAGAAGCTTCTTGCTTATTTATACTTCTGGTAAAAAATTCATTTGAAGCAAGGATTCATTGCTTAAAAACGTTTGAAAGGCACTGCTGTAGGTGATGAAGAGTCACTGAAAGATCTGAAGCAGGAAACTGACATCGCGCGCATGTGAGATCATTCAGGCAGGAGACGATAGCCTGGGGGAGAGCGGGGGGCGGGGGGAGGTAAGAGGACACTTCGATAGCCCAAGCAAGTGACGTTGGGCACCAGAATGATGGCAGTGTGGCTGGGCTGAACAGGAGGAGGCAGCCACAAGACAGACTAGAAGGTAGAGTCGACAGTACATGGTGAGTGACTGGATGTGTGCAGGGGATGGTGGGGGGCAGGGATGGATGAGACAAAGACAGGACTGGCTCCCAGATTTCTGCCCCGGGCCACTGCGTGAATGGTGATGTCATCGTAGGAGGAGGAAAAAGAAGGAATTGTGTTTAGCTGACACCTTCAGAGACCTGCCTGCAGTGGCTTCAACACAAGAGTTTCTTCTCATGTAAAATAAGTGTACAGGAAGGCGGTTCCCGGTAATGGTTGAGACCCAAGGATAGCATGGCAAAAACTCTGCAATCCTTGTGGCCTTCCCTTTCTAGTCCCAGGATGGCTGCTGGTGCTCCAATTATCACGCCCGTTTTCCAAAAAGCAGGAAGGAATGAGAAGAGTAAAAAGGACTTTCCTTGGAAGCGCCACCCAACAACGTCTACTTCTGTCCATTTTACTTGGCAAAAGCTAAGTCACATTCAGAATCTTAGGGGGTTTTTGGAGTGGGGAGAAGCTGGAATATGTACCCTATCTTTACAGACACTGGTATATAGGCAGGTAAAATAGAAGAGTGTTGGAGTGGTGCTGAGTGAACCAATCTGTGGGATTTTCCACGTTAGAGAAATGAGTTTGGCTTTAGTCATGCTGTATCTGAGGTAGAGCATCAGGTGAAGAGGTAGAATAGGTAGGTAGATACACAGTTCTGGGCACAACAGAGAAACGGAGGCAGATCTAGATTTTGTGAGTCATCAGCATATAAGCGTAACTGATGCCACAAGAGGTGGTGAGAATGGCCAAGGAGAGTATAGAGGTCAGAACCCTGGGGAATGCCAACATTTAAGGGGCAGGAAGAAGAATCCAGAAGACTGAGAAAGCCAAAGAAGTAGAAGGAGAATCACAAGAGTAGCTTCACAGAAGTCAAGGAAGGAGACAGCATCAAGGGAGGCATATGGTCAACAAAGATCCAGATAGAAAAGCACCCACTGGATGGGCAACTGGGGAAGCAATGGATGAGGGAGGGAAGGTACCAGGGAACAACAGAGTCAAAGGAGAGGTACTTTAGAATGGAAGACTTGGAGGTGGAAAGTGACCGGCTCCAGGGCATGCATTAGGCAGACTGCCATATTTTCAGTAACTGGGGCTCCCACACTCATCTGGCTAAAGAATAGGAGGGGTAAGATCAGACTGAAATTTCACCCCTGATAAGAAAGGAGCACGCTAAAGTGGGCCCTTGGAAAGACTGTTCATGATTAGAGCAGGAACTATGTCAACCAAGGGGGAAGTCTACCATGCCTTGTTGGTAAACTCTGAGAACTCTGTGGCCCAACAGAGTCACTTGGCCAGAGGTCACTGGCCTGTGCAATACCCGGCACTGAGTCTGGGCCCAAAGCTGGCTCACTTCCAGGATCAGGCTGACTGGATTCCAGGGTTGCCACTTCAGCCTAGGGCCTCCCAGTTTTCTGGCCTACAGGTGACGGCATCTGCCTTATAGTGCCATAGGAGCCTGTGGCCTAGTTGTGTTGTTAGATTACTTTCTGTATTAACTAATATATATACATTTAATACATATTATCTAGAACTGTTATATATAATTATGATATATGTAATAAATATTTTAGCAATCCTAAAGACAGTCAGTTGAGAATTTTCAAAATCAGAAACCTAAATAAAGGTTAATAGAGGGAGAAAAAGCACATGAGAATGGATTAGCTTTAGATAGAGCATGTTATTTATAAACCTTCCTATATACCACAATGGAGGACTTCCCCAATGTTACCTGGAGGGCCTTCCTTTGTGAATTTCATATGTTTTATAATCTGTGTCCCCACTTGTATCCTGTATATAAGCAATTTTCTCTTCAACTACATAATTCTAGAAGCCCAGCTGTCACAGTGGTCCCTGATTTGGTACTGAATGTCGCCTAGCAATAGTTTCTAACTGTTTTCATTAGTGTGGGCTGATAACAGTTTGGTTTCTTAAATAAACATAGCTAGATGTCAGCCTGTAGCTTTTTCCGGTTCAACACTAGAATATAAGCTCTGTACAGGCAAGGTTCTTTGCTTGTTTACTGGTTGTACTGGTTTGGATAGTGTCCCTTAAAAAGTTATGTCCTTCCAGGAACCTCAGAGTGTGACCTTATTTGAAGAGGGTCATTGCAGATATAATTAGTTAAGATGAGGTCACAGAGATGAGCAGAATGTTCCCTTAATTTAATATAACTGGCGTCCTTATAAGAAGAGAAGAAACACAGGGAAAAAGCCAATACAATGATGCAGACAGAGGCTAGAGTGATGCATCTACAAGTCAAGAAATGTCAAGGACTGCCGGCAAACACCAGAAGCTAGGAAGGGGCAAGGAAGGCTCCTCCCCTAGAACCTTCAGAGAGAGCATGGCCCTACCGACACAGTAATCTCAGATTCCAGCCTCTAGAACTGTGAGACAATTCATTTCTGTTGTTTTAAGCCGCCTAGTTTATGGTACTTTGTTATAGCAGCCCTAACAAACTAATATACTAGTATATCCCAGAATTTTAGGACAGTACCTGGCACACAGCAGGAGCTCAATAAATTAAACATTTGCTGAATGAATGAATGGACTTAGAGCAGGATGACCTCTCTGTGGCATTTGGCACCTGTTGATGACCACCCCCTTCCCTCACTTCTTGAAATTCTCTCCTCTCCTGTTTTCCACATCACCAGGTTCTCCTGGTTATGTTCCAATTATTTTGTCTGCTTTTCAAACATCAATGTTTCCCAGGATTATGTCTTCAATTCTCTCTTCTTGCTCCACACACGTTCCATGTAACTGTATCCCTTCCCAGGTTTCAACTCCCCATATACACCAAGGACTCCCAAATCTAAAACAGATCTAACCGTGTCACTCCTCTACTTAAAAAAAGAAGATGGCTATTGCCTAAAGATAAAGTCCAAACTTGTCTACTTTAGCATTCTACTCTGTCCTCACCCCAGGATGCATGAACCCCTTCCTGTAAAGTAACTTAGGCTCTAGCCACAAGGGACTACTTAAATTTCCCAGGCACACCATATTTGATGCTTTTAATGCTTCCAGAGTCCCTCCACCTGGAATGCTCCTCCATCTACTTGGTGAAATCCTAGTTCAAGGCCAAACACAAATGCCACCATCTTCTGGTGTCCTTCTTGACCACCATTCAGGCAAGATGATCTGCTGCTGTCTGTTTTCCCATAGGCTTCTGTTCACCACACCAGAATTTTATCATATCACAATAGGTAACCTGTTCCCTCACTGAGCCATGAGCTCTTTAATGGTATATAAGGACAGTGCCTTATTTATCTTTGCTGATCCAGTCCCTAGCTCAGTGCCCGGCACCTGGTGTGCTGGAGATTACAGGTTGAATGAACTCATTCTACTTGCAAAAACCCCAAATTACAGCTATCAAATGGCAACAGAATCACATCTCAGCACCACTTCAACAAAGCACAATAAAGATAAAGCTGCATTAACAGAAGTTAGAGACCCACCACAAATGTCAAAGTACTGGGCCCCAAATGGATGACCTGCTCCACACTAGATGGGGTATTTATACTCCTCAGAACTAGACCCCAAGACAACCAGGAAATCCGAGACAGAGAACATCAACCTCTTACCTCCGAAGATACATAGTCTCCTCATCTTCTGTGTTACAAAACTTGTGGGCGTGTTTGGCAGCATCAATCACACGGGACCGATCCCGGGGCCTCATGGGCAATTTCTCCAACTGACAGTCTGACGGAATGGAGAAAGATTTGGTCACGAGAGCCACTGAAAAATACCCTGAGGGGGCTTCCCTGGTGGCGTGGCCGCAGAGCGGCTGGGCCCGTGAGCCATGGCTGCTGAGCCTGCGCGTCTGGAGCCTGTGCTCCGCGACGGGAGAGGCCACAGCAGTGAGAGGCCCGCATACCGCAAAAAAAAAAAAAAAAGCCCTGAGGCAATCAGAAGTTTTCACTTGGGCCCTTAGCACTTTAATTTTTACTATAATTATCATGCTTATTGAAGCCTATTATTGAATGTTCCAACTAAAAATGACTTGGTGTCAGGAGACCTGGATTTTAGCCCCAGCTCTGGCTAATCACTTCCTCCCTAGGGCTCTTTCTCCTTACTTGATTATATTATCTCAAAAGTCCTTCCCAGGGCTTCCCCAGTGGCGCAGCGGTTGAGAGTCCGCCTGCCGATGCAGGGGACACGGGTTCGTGCCCCGGTCCGGGAGGATCCCACATGCCGC